AGTCTATATCACATCAATATAATAAATGTACTTAATATATTCTTCAATAAGCTGAGCTATTAATGATACAGCAACTGGGTATACATTACACTATGTAATGAATACCATATAGTAAACCAATAAAAAACTAAAATATAAGCTCCTCAAAGTTATCAATAAACTCCATATACTCTCCAGTCAGCTGAGCAACTAACAATAAGTCGTTAAATATCACAATGTTATATGGTGAAAAATGGCGGGTTTTCCTTCCCCTCAACACCAGAACCACGGACAGCGACATTCAGGCGGACGAGTTAATCCATGCTCGGAAGGGAGGAGGGGGGAGAGAGCAACAGTCACCATGCCAGCGAAAGAGCTGCGGTCTGATGGTCACTGTAAAATACAATTAATTAAGAACCGAAATGGTTTAAAACATCTTTCCAATGGTTACTAAGCCAGAATCCATCTTCTCAGTTGAAATTGTCTCTGTGCTTGTATAAGTGGATGGCCTCGTGAACGAATCTCTCATGGTAGCCGGTTGGCTTGCAAAGAACCTCCGTCTTGGAGAAGTCAAACTCATGTGAACCCACTGAATTATAACAGTGATCTGCCACGGCAGAAGAGTTCGTCCTACCATGTTTCAAGTTTGCTTTATGTTCGCGGATGCGGTCCGAGATATGTCGTTTGGTTTCACCAATGTAGTTGCTACCACAGAGGCACTTTAGTTTGTAAATGCCCGGATACTGTATGTCTGGAACAGCATCTTTTACAGATGGAACCAGATCACGGATTTTATGTATTGTGTTGAATCGGACCTGGATCTTGTGTTTATTCAGGATTTTGGAGATCTTTTTAGTGACCCCTGCAATGTAGGGTAAGGTGATGGTTTTTAGTGGCTCCTCAAGAGTATCCTTCTTCATGACTGGAGTGATGGCTTTGCGGATTGTGTAGTTGGAGTAACCATTAGCCCTGAGAGCCTGGTGTACGTGTTTGAGTTCACTGGCAATGTGTTCCTGGTCTGAGATGCATTGGGCTCTATGGTATAGAGTCTTGATGAGGGAGTTCTTCTGGGATGGATGGTGGTGGGAATCTGGTCTCAAGTAAGCATCTGTATGGGTAGTTTTTTTTCTGTAGACAGAGGGGCTCATTGAACCATCAGGTCTCCTTTTAATTAAGACATCCAAAAAGGGTAGCTTGCCATCTTTTTCGACTTCCATGGTAAATCTGATGGATGGGTGCATGAAATTGATGTGGTCGAAAAATTGGTCTAGAGCAGGCTGGCCATGTGGCCAGATGACAAAAGTGTCATCCACGTTCCTCTTCCATAAGGTTGGGCATAGAGTGGCAGTCTGGATGGCGTCAGTCTCAAATTTCTCCATGAAAATGTTGACTACAACCGGAGACAAGGGGGAGCCCATTTGGGTGCCCTCAGTCTGTTTGTAGAAAGTTCCATTCCAGGTGAAGTATGTGTTGGTTAAGCAATGTCTCACCAGAGGGGGTACATCAGTATGCAGTCCTTGATGAACCAAGTCTTCAATGATTGCGATGGTGTCAGGTACCAGAACTTTGGTGAATAAGGACACCACATCAAAACTGACAAGCAGGTCGTCTGGGGACAGGGAAATGCCTTTGGTTGTCGATACCAGGTGAGTAGAATTTAGTACCGCAGAGGTGGTTTTTCCAGTGAAAGGTCGCAGTATATCAGCCAGAAAACGTGCCAGTTTATAGGTGGGGGAGTTGATAGTTGAGACGATGGGACGAAGAAGTGTATCTTCTTTGTGTATCTTTGGGAGGCCATATAATCTTGGTGGTCTGGCAGCAGAGGGTTTCAACGAGAACTGTTTGGTCTGATCAGTTGATGCTGTTGAATCAGAGATGATTTTGTTCGTTTTGGTAACCAAGCTGTTGGTGGGATCTCTTTTTATTTTTGTATAGCTGCCATCGTTGAGTAGTTCTTGAATTTTGTTGTTATATTCTGTTTTGTCCATGATGACAGTGGCATTGCCCTTGTCGGCTGAGAGGACGACAATATAATCTCTATTTAAAGCTTTCGTGACTGCAATGATTCATCTTCTTTGGTTCTTTCGATAAAGTCACGTGACTTTACCGAAAGAACCAAAGAAGATGAATATAATCTCTCCTTTTTAATTGAGATAATTCAAAGCGTTCTTCTTTGCTGATGTTGCTAGGTGGCATCTTAGCGTTTTTTAAGGGTTGCAGCGATTTCAGATGTTGCTACGTCTGCAGCAATGTGACTCAAGCCCTTGAGTGCAACGTCAACATGGGCAATGATATCATTAACTGGTATGTGTCTCGGTGTGACAGCAAAGTTTAGCCCTTTAGCTAAAACGGATTTCAGGCCATCAGAAATGGAACTGTTACTGCGATTAATTACTACTTTGTTAACGTCTATCTTTTCGGTATGTGGAATTTATTTTTTGTTGGAGCGGCGATTACATTTGGAAATCAAATTGTCCCTACATTTGGTCGACATAGTGGCAGCCGAAGAGGTAGTCATATTGTCTACATGTTCCCAATCCGATGTAGACATCGTTGCTGTCAATGTTGAGTGTGATTTGTAGAGTATCTTGTCTAACTGATCTAGTTCGGTGCGTGTAAGTCTGATTTTTTTGGAGATAAGAGCTAAGCTAGATCTAGCTAGAATTCGTCTTGCATTAAAAGAAGTTGCAGCAGCAGAGGTTAGTGTAAATGCGGTTGGTATTACCTTAGAGTCGCGGCATCTCTTCAGAAAGGTGAGAGACTCGATTAGTTGAGCCATCTTATCCCGGACTCTGTTGAATGATCTTAAGGATGTGTGGAATTCCTCCCCGTAGAGGCGATTAAATTTCGATTTAAAGCTTTCATGACTGCAAGGATTCATCTTCTTTGGTTCTTTCGGTAAAGTCACGTAGAATGAGAATAAAATAATAAAATAAAATAAGACAATAAAATTCTCACGATGTTTCGGCCACAACACAAGTAGCCTTCTTCAGGTGAAAGAACAGAACTGTCGGGACGACAGAGCTTCAATTAACACTGCTAAGGTTCACATGACATTGACTTCTCCAAGACGGAGATTCTTTGCAAGCCAATCAGCTACCATGAGAGATTCGTTCATGAGGCCATCCACATATACAAGCACAGAGACAATTTCTACCGAGAAGATGGATTCTGGCTTAGTAACCATTGGAAAGATGTTTTAAACCATTTCAGTTCTTAATTCATTGTATTTTACGGTGACAGTCAGACCGCAGCTCTTTCACTGGCATGGTGACTGTTTCTCTCTCCCCCCTCCTCCCTTCCGAGCATGGATTGACTCGTCCGCCTGAATGTCGCTGTCCGTGGGTCTGGTGTTGAGGGGAAGGAAAAACCGCCATTTTTCACCATATAACATTGTGATATATAACGACTTATTGTTAGTTGCTCAGCTGACTGGAGAGTATATAGAGTTTATTGATAACATTGAGGAGCTTATATTTTAGTTTTTTATTGGTTTACTATATGGTATTCATTATATAGTGTAATGTATACCCAGTTGCTGTATGATTAACAGCTCAGCTTATTGAAGAATATATTAAGCACATTTATTATATTGATGTGATATAGACTTAATTTTTTCACATCAGTTTACTCTATGATAGTTGGTTAGTTGTAGACCTTTAGCGTCCATATACTAAATGCCTCTGTTGATATGTAAACTTTGACTTTAACTCAGCTATTTCTGTCACAAGCTAATCCCTCTGCGATTTCAATGCTAAATTATCCTGCTCTGATATGTAAACCCCTTTGTCAAGGCTCTTCACGCCTCTCACCGAGCTTAAAAGACGCTATGGTTTACTTTATGATAGTTGATAGTTGGAGGTCTTTAGCGTGCATATACTAATTGCCTCTGTTGATATGTAAACTTTGACTTTAACACAGCTATTTCTGTCACAAGCTAATCCTTCAGCTTTTTCAATGCTAAATTCTGCTGCTTTGATATGTTAACTCCTTTGTCAAGGCTCTTCACGCCTCTCACCGAGCTTAAAAAAGACGCTGCGAATCTTAGCAGCGTTAATTGAAGCTCTGTCGTCCCGACAGTTCTGTTCTTTCACCTGAAGAAGGCTACTTGTGTTGTGGCCGAAACGTCGTGAGAATTTTATTGTCTTATTTTATTGTCTTATTTTATTCTCATTATATGTGACTTTACCGAAAGAACCAAAGAAGATTAATCCTTGCAGTCACAAAAGCTTTAAATCGAAATTTTCATAACATATTTTCAGAATGCCGCAGAAGACAGCCCCATTACAAAATCTGTTGTTTCTTCACTCAGAGCTGATGGTGCATATTGACCCATAATCATATTGCAATAAACTTCAATTTATAAAAAATATTGGTTAAATTATCCTGTATCCTGTCAATATATAATGAAAATCATAAAAATGCAAAATGCATACTAGCATTTAATTCATGAATAGGTCAGATTTTGTCATAAAATGTATTTCGTATTTAATTTCATCGTTCTTAATGTTATTGCTGCAATCATTTCACATCTGCGTCATCATGTATGATATTGGGAAAACGCTAATTAAATGGATATATAAGGAGGTTCTCAGATGAGTGGCTCATTTCTTCAGACTCCCTTCGCAGGATCATCGCCGATCACCTCCAAAAGCAATCACCATGCCTATCGTCGACTCTGGAAGTGTTGCGCCTCTCAGGATGTCCACACCGGAGGTCTCATACGTCAATCATGAGACCTCCGGTGTGGACATCCTCGTGAAGGCAATCTTTTATTATGAGCAGTGAACACGTAGAAACACCTTCATTTCGTAAAATTTTATTAACATAGTAATCGTGTTAATTCTTAACCATAATACTTAAGTAGGATAAGTGGAATTTTTAAAAATATATTTTGTCATTACCATTATCCTGATGCATTGGATCTTCTACTGGAAAAATAAAATTATGCATATGGTCAACTATTTGGCCCAATTGACAAATAAATTTTAATCACAGAATGATCATTCCTTCAAAACAGGTTCTTCACCAGCACCCCTGCTTTTCAGGAATTCTTCCCCAAGTTCAAGGGGATGACTTCGGCTGATCAGCTCAAGAAATCCGCGGACGTGCGCTGGCACGCCGAGAGGATCATCAACGCCGTCAACGATGCCATGACGTCCATGGATGACACCGAGAAGATGAGCATGAAGCTAAGGGATCGAGTGGCAAGCATGCCATAAGCTTCCAGGTGGACCCCCAGTACTCCAAGGTAACGCATGCAGTGAACATAAAGTTCAATCACTACTGGTTGGCTCTTGGGTGATTGCTGCCTACAGCTGTTAGCAAGATTGGTACAGAGTTTACTAATGAAGATACATCTCAATCCCTCTCACATAGTGCCTTTGTATCCACCTAAAACTTGATATAGAGTAGTTACGTAAATATGTATTCTACTCAATTGGTCTGTAAGGATCCCCCACTCTCCCCTATTTTATTTATTTTCACGATTCAGTCTGCAATTCTATTCAACAATACGTTTTATGGCCTCGTGGCAGCCGGGATCATGAATAGCCATTTTGCACAAAGTACAGAAGTTTAAAAAAAAAGTTTTACATTCACTATTAGATGCTTGTGTAATGAAAGATAACCTATTTTAATAGCCAAATCGAATTTTCTCTGATGTCTTTCCAGGTCCTGGCCGCGGTCATTGCTGACACCGTTGCCGCAGGCGATGCCGGCTTCGAGAAGCTCATGAGCATGATTTGCATTCTGCTCAGGTCTGCCTACTAAACCAACGTGCACGGCCACTCCTGCAAGACTGCTACGCAACTGCCATTGCCACATGATTTGCACCAGTTTATGTTGACAGAGATAACGAATGTCTTGGAGAATGAAGCATCTTTCCGAGATGTTTTTGTCAATGACAATAAATTAAATGTAACTTTCCAATGAAAATCAATAAAAGTTCCATGCATACAGGTTTTGGAATGTGTGCAATTTAAAGAATGAATGAAATGTGTGACCTGCGTTGTGGATGCTGCTATGGTGTAGTGGTTGACAGATCGCTCAGTGGCAGTGTCAAAGGAGCAACGTTTGAGTGCCACTTTACCAGAAATGTCAACGGTGGCTTGGCTGTTGAGTGTTCAGGCAGTGCAACTAACCTGGGGCCCATTGTCTGGAATAATTGAGGCACCAGGCTACGAAGTAGGCATGGCGGGAAATTGGACAAGGGGCACCTAGGCCTAGGCTAGGCATACTATTAAAATTCATCCCACTCATGACAAAATTCACCCCATGAAATATTTTGGATATATTTTTTGTCAACCCCAAAAATGTGGAAAGAATGAGTGATGGAATGTTACCACCTCTGTCTCGAGGCTCAATACCCGGTAGGGTATTAGCAGGAAGACGACCAGTATAATACAGGTTTTTTGGGTTAGATCGCATAAATCTATAAATGTGTTGTTAAACTCGCCACCATTCGACACAGCCAATTATTAAGGTTTGTCACGTAAACAGAACATCCCAATGTGTTACTAGTACAGCACACCGGTGTGTTGGAAAGCAAAGCCACAATATTTACAATCTGAGTACGACGTTTCGCCAGTAATTACAACTAGCTTCATCAGGCGACAAATCTGGCTATCGCCTGATCAATGTATTACATGCATGGTTCAATGTCTGTGTCATGAGCATTAGCATTTACCTTTATTAATACCTTAGTACATGCCTGTTAGGTGAAATGTATTTTGAAATGCCTATGTTAACTACTCGATTGTATGCTGCTGTCTTCACAACAGGTGTCTGTGCAATTCTACCACGACTTGACATTCATGGTACCAATACTGCACGGGAACCCTCATCAGCCCACAATGGGTTCTCACATCTGGCTTGTGTGCCAATTATGTTCTTCATTTGTATTTGGATTATTTTTAGATATTTGTAATCATAAACCTGCTAGGTATTCTTTCGGGTTGACATATATGTTGTGGATACGAGTATGTGTAGCTATAAAGACGGTTACTGCATCGCGCGCTTTCAGATGCGCTTCTGCATTGAAAACTAATTTCTTTAGAACTGCTTTTTGTGTTTAGCTTGTCCTTCCCCCCGCACCTCCGATTTGCACGATTGGCTACATACGGTGTGACAGAAGTTCAACATACATATGCTTTTCTTTCTTAGGATCAATTATACAGGGTTTTTTCAACTTGGAAGCTCTTCGTAGAAAAAAAAAACTGCATGAATGGTGTTGTGCTTATGTGATATCTGCAGTTTTATTGCCTATATCCGTGTAGTGCTTGGCAAGCACGATATATACCAAGAGGAGGCTGGTGCAAATGCTTCAGAAGTCTACCTGTCGATTTACCATTCACAATATACCCCTCTAGCCTTCAGTAAGTTTTACGCATTTCATGTGTCACTAGTCCCATCAAAACAAACGCAGTGAACACATGCTTACATAATGTTAACAAGATGTACGTAACTTTTTCACAAACACGTTTTTGTTTAAATGGTAGACCAGCAGAAGTATTCGTCATTGAACATTGTGTGTCCACGTCAACCATGGTCTTCTCTTGAGGTTGTCTCCAGTCCTGCGGTAGTGCCGCCATTGAGAATGGGCGCAGGCCTCTGGTGCGATCTGCCGAGGCGTCCGCAGGGCAGCTTTCCCGAACAGGCGAAGTCTCCCGAGCCTGACCATCTCAGTCACCACCGGAGATGCTGTTTGAAGACACCACCGGTGGAATGCATTCAGTCAGCAGTACACATCTCTGTGTGGTGCCACAGCAATGGAGCAACTCCGTCGGCGCTGCCATCCCCTCGCACCCCTCCACATGAACGCACGCACACCCCCACTAAACACACACACGCACCCACGTAGGGTCTCGTGGGGGGGTCACCTGGTACCATGGGTTTTTACCGAGGGGCCCCAAGTGGGGATGTCCCATGGTTTCCCGATGCCAGGAGATTGGCCGCCCCCCCCAGGCCAAATTGCATTGCGGCCCCCGTGAATTAGCTGAAAATTATATGGGCACGACGGAGCTCACTGAGCTAACCATAATGAGACACTCACTGTACAGGTAAGGGGCCAGGGGGGAGTAAATGTTACGCGGGCAGCGCAGACGAGGAGGTGGGAGGGAAATTCCTGGACTGACTGCAGCTGCGAAAGCCGTGGGACGTTGTGGGAGGACGGGGGCGTAGACAATGGATCGAGGCGTAATGGGAAGCAACGCTTCATGTAAGGGGCGGGGGGCATCAGTTTAAAATCGAAAGATAGGCGCCCGATTGGCCGCGCAGGATAACACCACGTGACCCTGGATCTTTGGATTCCGTGGCATAAAAGGGAGGGAAAAAAAGGTTGAGCAGTTCTCCTACAGCCAGTCCGACTCCCAGCCGCGCAGCGTCCGAGCGACGCTGGCGAGTTCGGCTACAACTCGACCCCAGGCAGAGACCTCTCGTACCCTCGTTCCTCCGACTCCCACCGCGTCCGTATGACCCCGTGAGTATGTACGCGCGGTAAGAAGTAGAGAGAGGGTACACTCAGGGATTGAATAGGGATAGGCTAGGCGCTGCTCGTTGAGTATTTACTCCGAGCCGCACAGGGCTTGCTATAGACGAGCTATTAATAAACTTTAGCACAGAGCACCGGCGCCGCGCGATTTCTGTGTGTGTGGGAGAGTGTCGGTGTGGTGCGTAATTCGAGCGTGTGTGTGGGAGGCACGCGGGCAGTAATTTATTAACGGCTCCTGCGTCCGTGCAGGCAGGGCACAATTAATGGGGCGAGGGAGGGGTGAGTTAAAACCCGTTCGAGTGCGTGTTTACACAGCGCGTTTTACGCAGTGTGTTTATGTAGCGACAATAGCATTTAGCGGTGGGACGCGCGTGCATTACTAAATTTATGGCCGTCATTGTTTACGCGTGCTCACACTCCCATGCGTGTTTGCAGCAGTGGATTAAGGCCGACCCACAGGAGGGGGGAGGGGGGCGTGCATATTGATACGGTTATTTTTAGCGCGAGCCGTGGTGAGTGACGTGCGCCTACGCGTGCACGCAGCCACCTCCGGATTAGTGGTGGTGTACGTGGGGAGTGTGTGTGGGATAACTCCGGGCGGTGAGGATCCAGCTACTTAGCCATGTACCTCAGAGAAGGCACTGGTGCGGGGGGGCCGATCACCCGATCAGCGGGGGCCCGGCAAGAAGTGGCTGAGGAGGAGGGGGGAGAGGAGGAGGTGGGCGTCAGCCTGTTCTATATGCCCGGTATGAAAATTTGATGAAAATAATAAAAATTAAATGAAATTTGTGAAAATTAGTAATAATCCGAATTTATGCTAATTTGTGTAATTATGCGCACATATTATGCTAATTCAAGAGATAATCGTATTCATTTAAGCGAATGTATGTGATTATGCTAATTGATGCAGTTATGATAATTAGGATAAACCTCGTTTTTGAGGGTAGTATTATCCATCGGGATTGTACAATTAATCATGTGAAGTTATGCAGGTGTGCTATAAGTATGCCAGATTAAACTCGGCTTCGTTGACCAAGGTTAGTATTATTGATCGGTATAATACAATTATTCTCGCTTTAACATTTACTGATTATGTATTAGTGTGTTATGTCAGGTCTCCAAATTCAAATCTCACTGCAGGATACAGTTCTTATTATTAAGATTATCACGCATGAACTCAGGAAAGAAACACTCAAACACTTCTGTGTTAAGCAATTTTAATTTCTAAACAAAACCTTAACACTATAATATGCGAACTCTCATGCTTGGAATTACCCCCGGTACGATCGGGGAATTTTCCCTCAGGGAGCAGTACATTTAACCATCAATGATTGCGTTGTTTCACTTTGGCAACCGCACATATGATTAATTCCACCGCGTAACACGAGCTTAGTTGGTGATAGAGAGAGTCTTTAAAACAGGCATGCCAAGATGTTCTAAACAAATACCTTAAAGCGAATTATTATACCCCAAAAGCAAAAGTATACGTCAATAGATTAATCGGCAAGATTATGCAATTAAAAAGAAAAGAAAAAAACGAACGACTAAGATATTTCTAAATGACCGTATCCACTTAACTCAATGGGCAGCAATGTTCTTCACGATCAGTTGATATTGAATGCACCTCATCGGAATGGCAACCCTTCTTGATTTGTCCCTATATGCGTGTTGTGTGTCTTCGTAAAGCACATGCCGGGTGATGCGTCGTGAGGGTGTGAGTGTGGGGGAGGGTCATACAAACTGCTTCGTTCTCGCTCTTGCTCGGGGCGTCGGCTTAGCTGCCCGTCCGCTGGCAGATACAGACTCTTTCCACTGCTGGAGGGGCTGCGCCGCATGCCCCTCTCCTTGAAGATGCTCGATTGCGCTCACCGCTGGTTCGCTGACACTCTTGCTCACGGGCAGCTGGTCAGGCTCTTTCTCCTGCTGGATGAGCCGAGTCGGCACAACGCTTGTTCGCTGGCAGCTGGCACCCTTGCTTGGTGGAGCTGGTTGCGCTGGTTGCGCTGGTTGCGCACTCTCTCCTGCTGCGAGCTCTGGGGCCAGGGAATTGGCCAACTTCCCCCAGGTTGAATTACACTGCGGAGCCGTGAATTGACGTGCAATTGCATGGTCACGACGAGGCGACTCAGTCACCGCAGTTAGGACACACACAGCACGGCAGGTAGGAGGGGAAGGGGCCACGAACGATGGGCTAAGAACACACAGGAGGCAGGATCAGCCGGGTATGTGTCTGATTGGCTGGCAGGTTAGGGTCCTGAAGGTCCACACGAGCACCAGGGGAAGCAT